GATCGAAAGCGGTCGCCACGACGCACCGCAAACCAAACACGCAGCCTTCTGTTTCCGTTTGAGTACCTCCCTCATGCACTCCTCGTGAGCATTCAGTCGTCCGCAGCCCCAGTCGCACCAAGCTAACTGCGTCGCGTCGTCGAAGTCACCCGGAATTTCCTTGCCGAACTCCTCGTGGCAAACGATGCAGGCGTCGCCAGGGTCTGGCTGGACGCGCGGAGACTTGCGGAGAAACACGAGTCTGAGCGTCTCGCGGACCTCGTGGAAGATGGGCCGGAAGGCGCCGACGACGGAGACCGAGACGTGCGTTCGCGTCGCGGCGTCCAGCAAGGGCGAGACAAACAACCAGAAGAAGAAAGCGGCGTCGGCGACGAACGAGGCCCATCGCAGGCGTGGCAGGAATCCGAAGGACCAGGTCAGTAGGACGACGTACGGCGCGACGAAGGACGGGAGCAGCAGCGATGACCAGAATATCGACCAGCGGGGAACGCGAATGTGAAACCTCCTCTCCCACATTCCAACCGCGATATCGTACATCGAATGGAAATCAAACATGTTTTTGTACTGCCACAGCTGGAGCGCGAGGTCCGCTTTCAAGCCGGCGAGAAAGCCGCGCTGGCTGCCACGTAGAGCCTCGGCGACGTTGCTGGCAAGGGTGAGGCAACAGGAAAGGGGGAATTCACGCAGACAACCGACATGCAGTTGAAAACAATACTGACGAAAGCGAGGGCGCCTGTGAGCATCATGTAGCCCAGAGCACCATAGACGTACAGGAGCGCCAGGGCGGTCGGGCGCGCGCAGAGGATCCCCGGCGTGCCGCACAGAAAGACTCCCGCGAGCACCGGTAGAAATGAAGAGCGCGAGAGCAGCGAAAAGACCGCGGGGATCGACTGCATGAGGATGCGCGGGCACAACCAGAGAATTATTTTGAGGCGCGGACACGGCGTGCCGATGACCGGCCCAACGACGAACGTCACGTCGTGGATGAGCTCGAAAAGTAACAGGGAGACGACGAGAAGGCCGACCGTCCGAAGCCACGTCTTCCATCTCGGGTCGGGGTCGCGCTGCGGCGCGTCCGTCGCTTTGGCCGCCACTGGCACGTAGCCCGCCGACTCGATGATGTCGCGGCGGACGTCGCTTCCCTCCGACAGGCGGGCGAGGACCGAGAGCGCCCCGTTAATCTCATCCTTGGACCCTTCGACCAGCATCGGGACCGCGCCTGCAGAGATGATGGCGTCCTTATTGTCGTCGCTGCCTCCGCTTGTCAAATCGAGCAAAAGCCTCGAAGTGTGGAACGAGATGGATTCACGATGAGTTGGCATCAAGGCCATCAGTGCTGGTACCGCCTCCGATCTGATGATCGTGTCGATGGTCTTGGGGCCCGCCGCATACCATAGTATGCCGGCAACAGCGTTGTAAAGTCTCCCGTCCTCGTAGCTCTTGTCCCGCAGTATCTTGACCAGCGCGTTCATCTTCCGGACAATGAAATTCCTCGCACTTTCATCAAGCGAACGCTCCGGCACGCCATGGACGTGTTTGCAAGCTTCGCCAGCTCGCGGGCCGCTTCCGTCTTGGTCGGGGCGTCGCCGAATCGGAGAAGATCGACGAGCGGGCGCGCCGCGGCGCCGACGCAGAACGGCTGGCTGCCGCCCCACAACTCCGCGGCCTCGGCGAAAAGACGCGCGGCCTTCTCGGGTGTCCAAGTCGCGATCTGCGGCGCGATCTGCGCCGCGACGGCCACCGCCGCGTCGAGCCACGGCGGCGCCGCGAAGCTCACGTTCCAGAGCAGCGGGGTGGGGATGCGGACGGTCGCGTCGATGGCGCGCTGCACGCTCCATGGGATCGGCGCGGCGCAGACATATTGCGCCTCCGGGCCGAGGCCGCCCGCCCACATGTCCCGCGACGGCAGCGCATCCGCCGGCGGGCCGCGAAAGTAGACGGCCGTCGTACAGAGCGATGCCCAGATGAAGAGCTTGCGCAGGACGCCGGTGAAACTCCCGCGCCGGAGCTCGAGTCGGTTCGAAGACCACAACACCATCGTGTGAGGGCGCGCGTCGACGAGCGCGCGAATGAAGAAGATGGAGCGCGTGGAGGAGCGCGTCGAGGAGCGCGAGGTAGCGCGTCGAGGAGCGCGAGGTAGCGCGTCGGGAGCGGCGCGACACGGAGAGCGCGGGGGCCCGAGGCGCAGGGGACGAGGTGCCTGGCGGTCTGGCTCCGTGTTCAACAGCCGCGGCACCGTCGCGGCGCGATGGGTGTTGCCGTAGGAGCATGGAGCCCATCCAAGGTGTGAGAGCCTCAAAATGAAGAAGCGGCTCGTCCTAGCGCTGGAGACGGCGCCGCAGAAGGCGAAAAAACTCACGCTGCCCGCGTCCTGGTCCGACCGGCGCTGCGACGCGCTGCGGCGGCTCGCGGCGGAGAAGCTGGGCTGCACCGGCGCCGTCGAGCTCCGCGTCGGCGCGCGCGCGCTCGGCGACGACGAGCCCATCGCGGCGATCCCCGACGGCGCCCTCGTCGTCGCGCGCGACGTTGCCGAGGCGGCCGCTGGCGCTCTTCTGCGTGCGGCGCGACGGCCGCGCGTGGCCCGGCCGCGGCCGGGCGATACCCCAACAATCGCGCGCGTTCTACGGCATGGCCGCGGACGCGGACGCCTACCTCGAGGCGGCCCTGCCCGGCGCGGCCTTCCTCGTCGGCGCCACGGCCCTCGAGGCCCACGCCGCGGCCTGGCGGCGCGTCGCGGAGCTCGGGGAGACACAAGTCGCCGTCGTCGTCGAGCGCGGCGCGTTCTTCGCGTCGCCGCGGTGGCGCGAGGGCGTCGCTGCGCTCGTCGCCGAGGCGCGGAAACGCGACGAAAACTTCCGCGCCCTGTCGCTGGTCTTCGCCCTCGGCGACGGCGCGCTCGGCCCCGCGCCGGAGCCCTGCGGCGGATCGCCGGGCTACGTGCTGACGCCGCGCGGCGCGCGCGCCGCGCTCGCGCATCAAACGGCGCGAACGCCCCACGAGGCCCTCTTCTCCGGCGACGGCGGCGTCTACGCGTCGCGGCGGGCCATCTTGGACTTTGGCGACGTCGCGCGCGAGGGCCCCGGCGCGCCGCCGCCGCCCGTCGCCGCGCCGTCGCAGCGGGAGCTCGCGCTCAAACTCCTCGAGGCGGGCCACTTCGCGACGCCCGAGGGCACGGACGCGCGCCTCGCCGTCGCCGCGGCCATGGCCGTCGACCGGCGGCACTTCCTCGAGCGCGCGCCCTTCTACGAGGACCGGCCGTGCTACTTGGGGTGGACGACGGTGTCCGCGCCCTCGTCGCACTGCCGCGCAGCCGCGGCGCTCCTCCCGGCCCTCGAGGACGTCCCCGGCGCCCGCGTGCTCGACGTCGGCGCGGGCAGCGGCTACGTCGCGGCGCTGCTCGGCGCGCTCGCGGCGGCCGGCGGGGGGCGGCCGACGTGCGTCGCGCTGGAAGTTTCGGAGGAGCTCGCGGCGCGCGCGGCGGGCAACGCGCGGCGCGCGCTCGACGCCGCGGGGCTCCCGGGCGGCGGCTGCGCCTTCGTCGCCGTCGCCGGCGACGGCCGCCGCGGCCACGCGGCGCTCGCGCCCTACGCGGCCATCCACGTCGGCGCGTCCTGCGACGAGATCCCCGGCGCGCTCGTCGACCAGCTCGCCGTCGGCGGGCGTTTGGTGATGGCCGTCGGCGCGCCCGACGCGCCCCAGCGCCTCGTCCTCGTCGCCAAGTCCGCGACGGGCCTCACCGAGACGACGCTCGCGGCGGGCTTCGTCATGTCGCCCCTGAGGTAAACAAAAAAGTTAGGCGCGGACCGCGAGGAGCCGGAGGCGGTGGGCCTCGTCGTAGGCGCGGTCCGCGCGGTCCCGCGCGCGCTCGGACGCCGCGTCCTCCGCGGCCGCGCGCTCGAGGACGGGGCGGACCGCGTCGAGCAGCGCCACGGACGCGCGGATGGCCGCGTCGAGGTCCTTGAGGGGCGCGAGCGCCAGAAGCGCCGCCGCGGACACGTCCGCGCCCCGCGCGTCGCGCGCCGTCGCCGCGCCCGAAACGAGGTCCTCGAGCAGGTCGAAGAGGGGCCGGACCTAATGAGAGTCGGGTCTCCGGACAACTCTCCCGAGACGCCGAAAACGCGCGCTCCGCGCGTTCGACGCGTCGCGGAGCCGTTCCCACCGGCTCAGGAACGGCCGCCAGGACCCGTCCTGCCAGCGCACGCGCTGGGCGAGCGCGCAGGGGTGGACGACGTTGTGCGTGCGCTCGAGGTAGGACAACGCCTGGGCGACCTGCGTCGTCAGGTACTGCCGCGGCGGCGCCCGGGACCCGCCGCGGGCGACGGCGAGCGGCGCCCGGAGCACGCTCGACCGGTGGAAGGACACCTCGAGCACGTCGCGGAGCCGCCGCCGCACGACCGCGCGGCTCACCTCGAGCTCGCCCTCGACGGCCTCGCGGTCCACGGCCGGCTCGTCGCTCCCGTCGCTCGCGTCGCGCCAGACCGCGCGGCAGCTCGGGCACCGCGTCTCGCGGCCGTCCCGGGGCACGGCGGCCCAGGCCGCGAGGCACGTCGCGTGCACGGGCCGCGCGCAGCGCCCGCAGACCCGCAGGGCGCCGTCGAGGCGCTCGAGGCAGATGACGCAGCAGTCGAGGTGCGGCGGCGTGAGGGCGCGGGGCGGCGTGGCGGCGCGGGGCGGCGGCGGCGGTGCGCGGGCGGCGGCGGCCGGCGGCGGCGGCGGCGGCGGTGTTGCACCGCGGCCGGCCTCATTACTGGAGAAGCAGGACCGCATCGTCACGCCGAACATTCGCGGGCAGCCCCTTTTGGCGCTGCGACATTGCACTTAAAGTTGAGGCCCGCGCAACCTCCAGTGCAAAGCCGGAGCGCGCCCACGCCCGTCTGGAACTCACGAAAAAGAAACAAAGCCGCCACGAAAGAACCGAGTCCGAGTTAGGTCGGCGGCGGCGCGGGGACGCGGTCGCCGGGTACGAAGCCCGCGGGCGGCTCCGGTGCGCCCGCGTCGACGACCGCGAGGACCTTGTAGCGCTCGCCCATCTGCTCCGGGTCCAACAGACGCTCGCAGGCGGAGATGAGGTCCTCGACCTGGCTCTCCGTGATGTCGTCCAAATTCAGCAGCGCCTCGAGCCGCGGGACGATGCCCATGCGCTGGAGCCACTCGCCCTGGTCAACCGCACCGAACGCCGCGGCGCCGTCGACCGCCGCGGCGCGGTCGCCGCAGGCGCCGAAATCCGCGTCGACCGTCAGGTCCACCAAACCCGGCTCGCGGAGGGGCGACACCTGCGCGTGGCGGCGGAAGCCCCGGAGCGTGTCGCCGCGCTGTCCGCGCGCGTAGCCGTAGTCGACGAAGAGCGCGGCCCCGCCGGCTTTTGCAACTTTTGCAGCCACAGCATCCACAAATGCCAGCGCCCCCGGCGCCACCTCGAGCGTCTCGGCCTCGCCGTCCTTGGTCGCGAGCGACGGCGCGTCGGCCGCGGCCAATGCCCTGGACGCGGGCGTCGGCGACGGCGCCAGGACGAACCGGAAGCGGTCCGGCCCCGCGTCGGCGAGATCCACGAGCTTCTCGCGCCAGCCGTTGTCGGTCTTGACGAACTGGTAGGCCGGGAAGGCGTCGAGCACCTCCTGGCCCACGAGGAGCGTCGGCACCCCGTCGTCGTCGATTTCGTCGAGCGACTCGTGCCAGGTAGCCCTAGTTCCAAAGTCGCCGAAGCCGTCGAGGGCCCAGGTCACGGGCGTTTCCGCGTCGGGCTTCTGCGCGTGCGTCGCCGGCCTAGCGCCGAGCGTGCGCCGCTGCGCGAGGCGCAAAGAGGCGGACGGCTCTACCAGTCGGACGTCGCTCGCGGCGCGCCGGAACTTTGGCCACGCGGCCGTCGCGCGCAGGACGTCGCCGAGGAGCGTGCCGCGGCCCGGGCCGACCTCGACGAGCCGCACCTTTTCCGGCTCGCCGAGGCGCACCCACTCGCTGACGAACCAGACCCCGACGAGCTCGCCGAAGAGCTGCGAGAGCTCCGGCGCGGTCACAAAGTCGCCGCCCGCGCCGAAGTTGCGCTCCGCGCCGGACCGCGCGTAGTAGCCGTGGCGCGGGTGCAGCAGGCACTGGCGCATGTACTCGTAGACGGACAGCGGGCCCCGGGCGAGGATCTGCGAGCCCAGCTCGAGGCCCAGGGGCGTCTCCGGCGCCTGCACCGCCGACGGCGACGACTCGTAGCCGACCTTGCCGAGGCCCGTGCGGTCCACCGTGAAGTCGAACTCCTTCGAGCTCAACCGGCGCATGCACCGGTGATGGCGCGCGGCCAGGCGCCTCGCGGCCACGGTGGCGAGCTTCAGCATCGTGTATGAGGTCAAGGGATCGATGCACGATGTTGTCGCCAACGTGCACCATCGTTGACGCACTTTCTTACTCGAGGCCGAGCTGGGCCTTGAGCCCGCCCTCCTCGGCGGCCATCTCCTGGAGGATGTCGAGGCCGCCGAGGAGCTCGCCGTCGACGTAGAACTGGGGGAAGGTCGGCCAGTCGGAGTACTTCTTGAGGCCCTGGCGGACGTCGTCGTCCGTGAGGATGTCGAACGCGTCGAACTCGACGCCGTTGTCCCGCAGCAGCGCGACGATTGTCTTGGAGAAGCCGCATTTCTCGTTGCCCGGCGTGCCCTTCATGAAGAGCACGGCCTTGGCCTGGTTGACCAGCGCCTTCAGCCGCGCGTTCAGCGCCGCCTCCGGGTCCTCGAGCGCGGCCTCCGCCTCCGGGTCCTGGAGCTCGAGCTGGCCCAGCAGGTCGCCGTCCGCGGCCATCTCCTGAAGAATATCCAGGCCGCCCACGAGGTCGCCGTTCGCGTAGAACTGCGGGTACGTCGGCCAGTCGCTGTAGGTCTTCAAACCCTGGCGCACGTCCTGGTTCTCCGGCAGCAGGATGTCGAAGGTGGCGAAGGGCACGTTCGCGCCCTGGAGCAGCTCGCAGACCTTGCGCGAGAAGCCGCAGCGCGGCGCCTCGGGCGACCCCTTCATGAAGAGCATCGCGGGGCTCGAGAAGATGAGCTGCTTCATGCGCTGCTCGAGCTGGACTTTGGCGACGGCCGCGGCCTCGTCGGCGTCCATGGTCGCCACCTTTTCCTTGTCTAACGCCTCGACCGCGGCGGCCGCCGCCGCGGCGTCGACGCCCTCGGCCTTGCCGGCGACCTCGCCGCCTTTCAACGTGACGAGCGTCGGCACGGCCTCGACGCCGAACTTCTCCGCGAGCGCCTCGCACTCCTCGGCGTCGGCGGACGCGAGGGTCACGGACGGGTGCTTCTTGAGGCGCGCGAGCTCGGCGAAGAGCTGGTTCAGCTGCTGCGACGGCTCGTCCCAGTCGGCGCCGAAGAGCACGAGCACCTTGCCCTTCCCGAGGGCCGTCAGGGACGCCTCGTCCGTGAGGACGGCCAGGGTGGTTTCGCCGTTGGGCGTCGGCGCCCGTGTTTCGAGCTCGGCCATTCCTCACTTGTCGCCGGCGGCGCGAGGTGCTCGAGCTCCCGGAGTGCTCGTTCGAGAAGGCCGCGCTCGTGCTGCGTCGCTCGGGGTTTTGAGGTTTGCCTTTGCCACAAAAACAGCGACGCTGATCTGACGCTGCCGCGTGGAGCCGAAGCCGCGCCGCGATCGCACAACTCCAAAACATTCAGTCCGCTGCCGCGTCCAGTGTCGGCGCAGCGTTCGCGTCGCCACCATCGCGTGGGGTCGCAACATTCGCCGCTCTAGCTCCCTGACGCGCGCCGACGCGACGAAGGCGACGGCGCCGCCGAGCCCTTCCAAGGGCGCCTGCAGTCCCGCGGGCCGCTACCGGATGCTCGCCTACCTGCGGCGGCGCAAGGACGTCGCCGTCGTCGGCGGCCTCGTGGCCTTCTTCTTCCTCGTCGTCATCCCCCTCGTCTCCGGCGGTGGCGGCTCGGCCGACGGCGAGGGCGCGCTCCGCGGCAGCGGCTGGCGGTTTGTCACCATCGTCGACGCCGGGTCCAGCGGCTGCCGCGCGCACGTCTTCCGCTGGCGCACGGGCCGCAGCGGCGTCGTCGAGGTCGACCCGACGCACAACAACCTCAAGGTGAAGCCGGGCCTGTCGTCCTTCAAGGACGACCCGACCGCCGCGGGCGCTTCCTTGGCCCCGCTCCTCGATTTCGTGCGGTCGGAGATCCCCGAGGGCGAGTGGGCGTCGAGCCCCATCTTCCTCAAGGCGACGGCGGGCCTGCGCATGACGCCCGCGGGGCCCCGGGAGCAGATCTTGGAATCCGTGCGCGACGCGCTCTCCGCGTCGCCTTTGAAATTCGACGACCGCGAGGCCGGCGCGCTCGTCATCGAGGGCACGGACGAGGGCGGCTTCGGCTGGATGAGCGTCAACTACTTGATGGGGAATTTGGACGGCCACGCGAAGCATTCGGACTTTGTCGGCGTCGTCGAGATGGGCGGCGCGTCGGCGCAAGTGACGCAGATCCGCGACTCCGCGACGCCCCAGCCGGGCGGCTACTCCTTCGACTTCAAGGTCGGGAAGCAGCCCTTCCACCTCTACACGCACTCCTACCTGGGCTACGGCCTCGAGCAGGCCCGCGAGACCCTGTCCGCGCACCTCGTCGAGCGCGCGCGCGGCGGCCGCGTCAAGGACCCGTGCCTCAACGCGGGCTTCGAGAAGGAGGCGGCGGAGCCGCGCATCGACGTCTACGACGGCCCGAGCGCCGTGGACCTGCGGGGCGTCGCGGGCGACCACGCGGAGTGCGCGCGCGCCGTCGAGAAGTCGCTCTTCTCGCGCGACGACCCCTGCGGCTTCGAGTCCTGCTCCTTCAACGGCATCTTCCAGCCGCCGAACCTCCCCAAGGGCAAGCTCCTCGCCTTCGAGAACTTCCACTACACGGCGCAGATGCTCGGCGTGGGCCAGCCCGACACGTCCGCGGCGGACTTCAAGGCGGCCGCGAAGGACGCGTGCGCGGCCGAGTGGACCGACTTCCAGGCGTCGCCCTACCCCAAGGACGGCTCCGAGAAGTTCGAGCTCAACAAGCTCTGCTTCTCCGCGACCTACCTCGCGCTCTTCCTCGAGAAGGGCGTCGGCGTCGACGGCCGCGCGAAGATCAAGGTCCAGCAGCAGGTCGGCGACCACGGCATCGACTGGTCCCTCGGCGCGGCCATCAAGGAGGCCACGAAGATCGCCCACGGCCACTAGCTCGACTCTAAGGCGCGTATGTGGCGTGGCGGCAGCCGCTCGGGCGCGCGCAGGAGGCTGTCGGCGCCTGCATGTTGCATCGCGCTCGCCGCCTCGACTCGCGGTGCGCAACATGCCGGAGCTCCGCGAGCATCGAAGTGACCCAGGCATGCGCCGCGGCGGCCGCGGCAAGGGCTCCGGCGGCCGCGGCGGCGACGCGCGGCGCGGCGGCGGCGGCCGCGGCGGCGGCGGCTTCGACCGCACCAACGCGCCGCCGGCGCCGCCGCCCGCCGAGACCTACAAGGCCACGGTCAAGTCCGTCGCGCTCGAGGCGGCGCCCTTCGGCGTCTTCGTCGAGCTGACGAACCCCGGCGCGCGCCACCACGGCAAGGGCGGCCTGCTCAAAGCCCGGTCGTCGCCCGTCGTCGCCGCGCTATCCGTCGGCGACGTCGTGCGCGCGCACGTGCACACGGTCGACGACCAGGGCCGCCTCGACTGCCGCCTGAGCCGCGCGGCGACCTGCGCGTCGGGCCCGAAGGCCGACGCCGGGCGACGGGGCGCGAAGCCGCTGCTCATCCTCGACCTCAACGGCGTGCTCTGCGACCGCGGGTCGTACAAGAGCCGCGGCCGCGGCCGCGAGCCGGACGCGCCGCGGCCCCACGCGGCGGACTTCGTGGCCTGGTGCTACCGGCGCTTCACCGTGGGCGTCTGGAGCTGCGCGCGGCGCGAGAACATGGACCTGAGCCTCTTCGAGGGCCGCGATTTGGCGATGGCCTGGGACCAGAACAACTCGACGTCCCTGTGGCCGCGGTGCTCCCAGGTCTCGGCGGAGAAGCCCCTCTTCCTCAAGGAGATCGACAAGGTCTTCCGGACGTCCTTCGCCGACGCGCCGGTCCCGGCGGCGGCGCCCGCGGGCGCGCAGGGCATGTGGCGCCGCGCGAATTCCGAGCCCGCGAAGCCGGCGCCGCCGGCGCCGGCGCCGGCGCTCTACGGCTACGACGCGGCGAACACGGTGCTCGTCGACAACCACCTCGAGAAGTTCGAGCGCAACCCGCTCGGCACCTGCGTTTTGGTGGAGACGTGGACGGCCGACCGGTCCGACGACGCGGCCCTCGCGCCCGGCGGCGCGCTCCGCCGAGCCCTGGACGCCTTGGCGGCCTGCGACGACTGCGCCGCCCTGGGCCGCGCCGCCGCGGAGGCGGGGACCTACCCCGGCGTCTTCCCCGCGGCGCACCCGTCGCCGCCGCCGCTAAGCGCGGAGACGCCGCGGCTGCCGCCGTCGCCGCGGGCGCCGTCGCCGCGCTTCGACGAGCGCGTCGCCAAGGCCTTCGCCGAGACCTACTGCGCGTCCAAGAGCCACCGCACGTCCTGCCCGGACTGGCCCGCGCGGAAATACTTGGACAAGCGCGACTCGCCGGGGCCGCGCGCGCGGCCGCTGAAGCGCCGCGACCTGGCGACGGTGGCGACGGCCAAGTGGTACGCGACGGAGAAGACGGACGGCGAGCGCCACTGGCTCTTCCACGACGGCGCGGACGGCTGCTGGCTCCTGCGCCGCGACCTCTCGATCTCGCGGACCTTCGCCGAGAGCATCCCGGCCTTGGCGTGCGGCGGCCCGACGATCTTCGACGGCGAGATCGTCCCGGAGCGGGGCTCGAAGCACGTGTTCTTCGTCGTCTTCGACGCCGTGCGGAGCCTCGGCGACGACGTCGGCGCGCTGCGGAACGCGCCCGCGCGCCTCGCGGCGGCGGCGGCGGCGCTCGCCGCGCTCGCCGCGGCGGACCTCCCCGTGGCCGTCATCGCCAAGACCTACCACGACGGCGCCCACTTCGACGCGCTCCGCCCGGCGCTCGCGGCCGGCGGCGGCGTCTTCCGCGACGGCGCGCGGACGACGGAGTGCGACGGAGTAGTATTAGCCGCGGAGCGCGACGCGCACGGCTACTACGACGCGGCCTGCTTCAAGTACAAGCCGACGATCACGCTCGACGCTGGGCCGAAACCAAATCTTCAACCAACTTCAATGTGAGCGTCTTCGACAGTTTCGACGCGAGGCTTTCTGCTGTGCTTCGAGAACTCGACGAGAGCGATCGATTCGTCCAAAAATCAGGCGAATCGACTTCGATTTGACCGAGCTAGAGAGGTGTGAAGTTTGGCAGGAATAATCCAAACAGCGGTTGATTTCGGCACAGGCTCGACGTGCGCCTCAAGTTCCCCCACCACGACCACTGGGCGCCGCCGCTCGACGTCGACGCGGCCGTCGCCGACGGGCCCCGCGACGTCACCGTCACGTCCGTCCGCGTCGACGCCGCGGGGCTCGACAAGTTGGGCCTGAAGCCGCCGAAGCGCGGCGGTGGAGGGGGCCGCCGGGGCGGCAAGGGCGCACCGCCGGGCCCCATCGCGGAGTGCGAGTACGCGGGCGGCTACTGGCGCGTCGAGCGGCCGCGCCACGACAAGCGCAAGCCCAACTCGCTGCGCACGGCCTGGTCCGTGCTCGAGAGCATCGCGGACGCCACGACCGTCGACGACGTCGCGGACGCGCTCGCGGCGCCCTGGGCGCCGGGCTTCGCGGCGCCGGCCGCGGTCGCGGACGCCGCGAAGCACTACGACGAGCGGCAGCAGCAGCGCAACGCCAACGTGGGCCTCGACGCGACGATGCACCGCCTCCGGCGCCTGAACAACTTCGCCAAGGCCCTGGTCCTCGACGCGTTCTGCGTGCGCCACGCCGCGGGCGCGCCCCGGGGCCTCGGCGACGCCGTCCGGCCGGCGGACCCGGCGGACCCGGCGCCCCTGCTCGCGGCGCTCCGCGCGCCCAAGGGCAAGGGCCGGCGGTCGGGCGCGAAGAAGCGGCCCGCGGCGATCCTCGAGCTCGGCTGCGGCCGCGGCGGCGACCTCGGCAAGTACCGCAAGTCCTTCGACGTCACGCGCATGGTCGCCTGCGACATCTCGACGGTGGCCCTCGCCGAGGCGGAGAGCCGCTGGGCGTCCGACGGCGCCGACGGCCGCGCGGCCTTCGTCGTCGGCGACCTCGGCGACGCCGGGCTCGCGGACGCGATCACGGCCGCGGCGGGCGGCGAAAAGAGATGGGCGAACTACGCGTGCTGCCACTTCGCCTTCCACTACGGCTGCGGGTCGTCGGCGCGCGTCGACGCGCTGCTCCGCTGCGTCGACGCGAACCTGGACGGGTCCGCGGGCGTCTTCGTCGCGACGATCGTCGACTGGCGCGCGCTCCGCGACCGCCTCGCGGCGGCGCCGCGCGCGGCGGTCGGCGGCGAGCTCTGCGTCGTCGAGGCGCCCGAGTCGACGCGCGCGGCCCTCGCGGCCTTCGGCGACGAGCCCGAGGGCGACAACGCCTGGGGCCTCGAGTACGAGTTCAGCCTCGGCGACGCGGTGCGGAAGTGCACGGAGTTCGTCGTCCACGCGCCGTCGCTCGTCGCCAAGGCCGAGGCCCGGGGCCTGAAGCTCGCCTACTTGGGCAACTTCGCCGCCTTCCTCGACGACGCGCGGCGCCACAACGACGGCTTCCCGGAGCTGGCCGCGAACGTCGGCGTCCGGCCCGGCCCCGGCGACGCCGACGCGCTCTCCGACGACCAGTTCGCCGTCGCGTCGCTCTACGCGACGATCGCCTTCTCGCGATAAGCACGCGCCGGGCGGGTGAAGCTTAGGGGCTTTTTGGGGGATCAGATGCAGGGGTCCGCGAAGACGGGGCCCGGCGGCATGCGCGGCGCCGGCCGCGGGACCTCCGCGGGGAGCGCCCAGCCGAGGAAGGGCGTCGGCGGCGCCGCGGCGGCGCGCGCGACGGCGCGCGTCTCCTCGGGGGTGCGCTGGCAGGCGAGCACCTCCTCGCGGAGCGCGGCGCGCATGGCGTCGTTGTCGCGCGTTCTGTGGTCGGTGGTAGTCGTGAAGGGGCCGATCATCTGGAACGTCGGCAAGCCGCCAGCGGCGCGCACGGAGGCCTCGAGCGCCGTGGTGGCGTGCGTCCCGTGGTGCTTCTGGGCGTTCGAGTCGAAGGAGTTCCAGGTCGTCGACGTCCAGCTCGTGGGGTTCTCGGAGGTCGTCGGCGTCCAGCTCGTCGAGCTCGCGGACGTGACGACGCGGGCCGTCTTCCCAAGCAGGGAGGTGGCCTGGCGGGTCGACGAGGCCGTCCGGCAGAGGGCCGGCGAGCGCATCACGTGCATCATCGCGAACGACACCGGTCGATGTTCCAGTCTAAGTCGAGGATCTGATCGACCAGAAGGTCTCAAAATTGCGCGCCGGGGTCAAACGCGCGCGCGGGGACGTGCCGTCGACGCCTCCGTCGGCGGCCTTGCGATCGCGTCCATTTTGTGTTTAACTCCTGTCGCGCGTGCCCGCGCTTCTCAGAGGAACAAATGGCGTCGACATCACGGCTGGGCGTCTTTTCGATCTGGAGCTGAACGAGCGTGTCGATCATCCAAACTCGCAGAGCCGTATTGCTCGTGCAGGCGCAATGTTCGCGCGTCAGAGCACGTATAAGCACATGGCGCTCCTCAACGGGGAGGCGAAGCTGGTGATAGACGAGGAGCGCGTACGGCGCGGACGACGGGGCATCATGGACCATCTCATGTGACCATGGCCCGAATTCGTCTTCCCCGACCCCAACGAGGCCTCCAACGACGGCGGCCAGCTCAAGCTGCGGCGCGAATTCATCTTCCCCGACCCCAACGACGGCGGCCAGCTCAAGCGGCGCCGGGACTTCTATGCGCGTGACGTCTCGTTCGACAACAACGCACAGTAGTACTGAACCTCAAGACCGCGGTCGATGACATGGAACAGGCCCTCGCGCACGGGTGCGGCGTCCGCCGATGCGGGGCAGGACAACACCGGATGGACACCGCCGGATGGACCTAGTCTCGATCCCTGGCGGTCCGCACGCGGCGCGGCACCGTTCCTGCACTGTTCCGAAGAGAGGCAAGGTTGACCTCGAGCTCTGCGCCACTGAGTCGATCGACGAGCTGCGCCAGCGCTGTCGGCACCGACGCTCGCAGCGTCGCTGCCACACCAACGCATCGATCAATCGCAGCGCTCTCGCGCCAGCAGCAAGCAGCAGCGATCGCTGACAGCGAGTAGCTTGCAAGATGCGACTCCTCCTCCTCCTCGCGCTGGCGACGCGCTGCTCGTCCCTGCGAGTAGCGCGCCGCCGCTTCCACCAGAGCCTCGCCGGCGCCGCCGCGGCCGCCGCGTTCCCGCGCGTCGCCGGCGCCGCGGCCGACAGCACGCCCGCCGCGGACCTCGCGCTGCTGCGTCGGGGCCTCGCGGACCTCGAGGCGCTTGTCGACAACTGGCAGGAACGGACGGTCAATTGCAAGTACGCCGAGGTGAACCGCGGGCTCCTCGAGACGTCCGCGAAGCAGGAACTCTTGGTGGAAAGCACGAAGAACGCGCTCGTCGTCAAGAACAGCAAGGCCGTGAAGACGCTGTGCAAGCGCGACCCCGAGGTCGTGCGCCAGGTCATGGGCCTCGACGGCAAGTTGAACGCGAAAGGCGGCCCGCCGGCGGCCTTCGCGCCCGGCGCGAGCCGCGAGATCAAGAGCGCGGCGGCCGATCCCAACAGCCCGCTCGTGGACGCGGACCGCATGATCAAGCGCGGCCTCAAGACCATCGACGACGACCTCGAGGCCTACATCGAGGCCGAGGAGCTGTGGCTTCAAGCCATTAGCACCGTCGACGCCGCGTCCTACACGTCCGGCTCCGCGGACTTTGGGTCCATCGTGTCCACGGCGAGCGACGGCTCCGCGAAGGACTCGGCCCTGCTCGAGGACGCGCGCCGCGGCGCGATCCAGGCGCGCGACGCGCTCCGCTGCATCGTCGGCATCCTCGCCAAGGCGAGTAAGGCGTAGCGTGCCGCATGGTGAGCCAGCGAGCTTGCACTCGCCATTTAGGGGCGGACACCGAGAGGCCTGCCGAGCATGTACGCAAAGCGCAGCATGTTGAAGTAGTGGCTTGAACGTTGCCCTTCTCGCGGAGCATGGCTTCGCCCCGCGCTTGCACCATGCCGCGCCGCTGGACGCTCGCCTGCCTCGCGCTGTGCGCCACCATGACAACCGCCAACGACGTGCCCGCGGCGGAGTACTTCTCCGAGTACGGCATGATGAGCCACCACATGACCATGCTCCTCGACGTCGGCCGCATGCAGGCCTACCGCAGTGCCATCCTCAACGACGCGGCCCACTTCAAGGACAAGGTCGTGCTCGACGTGGGCACGGGCACGGGCGTCCTCGCCATCTGGGCCGCCGAGGCCGGCGCGCGCAGGGTCTACGCCGTCGAGCAGTCGAGCGAGGTCGCGGAGTGCGCGCGAACGATGGCGGCGCACCACGGCGTCGCGGACGTCGTGGAGGTGCTCGAGGGCGCCATGGAGGAGCTCAACGTCCCCGAAAAGGTCGACGTCATCGTGTCCGAGTGGATGGGCTACTTCCTCGTGCGGGAGTCGATGGCAAAGTCCGTCATCTACGCGCGCGACACGTACCTGAAACCCGGCGGCGCCATGTACCCGTCGCACGCGCGGCTGCTCCTCGCGCCGCTGGACGCAGGCATCTTCACGGAGCGGCGCGTCGACGAGATCCTCGAGCACATGGGCTCCTTCGACGAGATCGCGCCGCAACTCACGGAGGCGACGGGCATCGACCTCACGCCGCTGCGCGAGACGTACTACGCCGAGTTCCTGCGCGACGTCTTCCGCAACGCCTGGATCGGCCCCGTGCCCGCGGAGGACGTCCACGCGAACTCGGCCGTCGCGCTGCTGGACGTGGACATGGCCACGGCGACGGCGGACGAGCTGCTCGAGTGGTCGCGGACTGTGGAATTCGAGGAGAAGGAGATCGACGGCCTCGTCGCCTGGTTCGACGTGCGCTTCGCCGCCTTCGCCGCCGGGGACGACGTCGTCTGGCTCGACACGTCGCCGGGCACGGAGACGCACTGGGGCCAGTGCGCGTTCCTCGTGTCGCCCTGGCTCGAGGGGTCCTTCGTCGCGTCGCTCGCGCCGAAGCCGGACGCGAGGCACGACCTCGACTTCACGCTCCTTTACACGCCGTCGGCGAGCGCCGACGGCGAGCCGCCGGAGGAGGTCGCGGCGACCTACGCCATCACCGCGGAGGTCCGCGGCTTCGGCGACGTCGACGAGGACCTCGGCGACCTCGACGACCTGTCGCCCTACGGCGAACCCTACGACGACGCGCCCTACGCCGAGGCCGCCTACGCCGAGGAGCCGGAACTTTAAAAAATGTCGCATCGAGTCTCCTTTGTGACGGCCTCGCTCTTACTCACGCGCACCAGCCGGCGAGGTCGTAGTCGTGGTGCTCGCGGACGAGCGCGCCGTAGCGCTCCGCGAGGCGCGCGTGGTCCCGCGCTTTCCGCGGGTCCGACCGCGCGGCCGCGCAGTACGCGTCGCGGTGCTTCGCGTTGGGGTCGCCGTCGACGGCGGCCGCGGCCGCGGCCGCGTCGGCGCGCGTCGCGTCGAGGCCGAGGAAGGCCCAGAGGTCGAGGAGCGTCGCCGCGGGCGCCGCGGCGAAGTCCTCGAGCGCCACGCGTTTGACGTGCGCGAGCTTGGGCGCGTTCGTCGCCGCGTACTCCTCGACGGCGAGCCAGTGCGCGACGAGGTCGAAGAGCGACAGGCTCGGCACCATTTTTTGGGTGGACAGCGCCGTCGCCAACGGGTGCCGCGTCACGAAGACGAAGCGCGCGCGGCTCCGGCGCGGCGCCTCGGCGTCCGGGAACTCGCAGGTCTCGTCGTCCAGGCCCGCGTTGCGGCGCCGGTTCGCTGCGCCGGGCACGTAGTCGACCAGCGCCTGGAGGTAGCGCGCGAGCACGACGTTCGGCGGCGACTTCTCCAGGAGCACCTTGGCGCCCGCGATGCCCGGCGGCCGCTTGTCCCAGTGGTAGCCGAAGGCGTTGAGGACCTGTTCCTGGGACTCGCCGTGGACCGTGTCGTGGGCCTCGGTCCAGTAGACCTCGCCCGGCGGCGCGAGCGCGTAGCGGCCGACGCCGTCCTCGGCCGACGGCCGCGGCTTCGCGCCGGCCGCGGCCTTCAACGACCGCAGCGGCCCGCTCAGGAACTCGGAGCCGACGCCGAACCGCGGGTAGACGTTCTGCGCGAAGGCGCCCTCGCTGAAGTCGAGGCCGCTGTCCGCCTGCTCGCCGAACCAGGCGACGTCGCCGTGCGCCGCGAGGCACCGCCAGAGCGCCGTCGTGCCCGCGCGGTGCTGCCCGCCGACGAACGCCACCGTCCGATTCTCCAGCGCCGCGCGCCAGTCGCCGGCGCTCCAGCCGAGCGTCTTCGCCGCGGGCGACACGAAGAACTCGGGGCCGTAGGTCCGGTGCGCGTAGGCCGCGGCCGCCGCCGCGAGCGCGACCATGACGCCGCAGACCGCGAGGCCGCCGCGCGGGTCGTGGCGCTTCGCGCTCTTCGGCGCTTCCGGCGCTTCCGGCGGCTTCTTCTTCTTCTTCGCGTTCTTCGGCGCCGTGACAGTCGCCTCCTTCGCATTCTTGGCGTCCTTCGGCGCGCTGGCCGTCGCCGGAGCTTCCTCCTCCTCTGCGGGCGCTGCTCGCCGCGCGTTGAGCAGCCATTGCCCGACGAAGCGCCGGCCGATCGTGAACACGACCCAGAAGGCCACCGGCGCGAGCGCCTGCTGCCATGCCATGGGTGCTACGTGATCAATCAATCAACGTGCTTTGCGTGCTGTCGCGGGCGTGCGTCGCTGCGAATAGGCGACCGGATTCGCGTCGAGCCCATCGGGAGAGGCAATTTCATCTCGACTGCACTTTAGCCTCACCTGAGAACGCGCCGCGCGCGCGGTCGAGGACGCGCTGCGCCCCCTCTGCTGCGCGCCCTAGTACCAAGTCGCAGGCCGCCGCATACGCCTGCGGCCGGTTCGGTTTAAAGTCTCGCACCCAGCGCGCTGACGTAGATGCAGCCGATCTCCGGCTCCGCGAGGACACGCGCGCGAGCGCGCCATGGTTGCCCTCGGCGTTGATCTCGAAGGACGGGTCGACCTTGCGCGCGAGCTTGAGCGCCGGCGTGACCTGCGAGCTCGCGGCGCACGAGCTTCTCGGGCGCGAGCACCGGGGCGCCCTGGTGGGCCAGTGCCACTGAAGACTCTCCTCATCAAGCAGAAGATGGCCAACGACCACTCGCCGTCGCCGTCGCTCCCGGCGACGAGTCGCTTCACGACGTTCTGCACGTACTACGCCTGCGCGCTCGCGTGGCGGCTCGACCCCACACGCCCGGGCCTCAACCACCTCACGCTCGCCTTCGAGCCCGGCCGCGCCATCGTGCACCGCCGCACGCGTGCCCCGGCTGGCGAGTCGTGATGCCCGCTCCCGCGGTGCACGCGGATCGCAGCAAGTCGAGCGCGGCCGGCGGGCAGGGGTCGGAGCGCGTCGAGCGCGCGCGGTGAAGCATCCGTGATATTCACAGAGGCAAAATCGTTCATTTTCCGATGGAGGGGTTGACGCAGCCCCCGGTGTCGCCGGAGCGCGACGGCGGCGAGGGCTTCGTGCTCACGCAGCCGCCGTGCGTCGACGAGGCTGGGGCGGACGCGCCGCCGCGCATCGCCTTCGTGCTGCGGCCGACGGCGGCGGCCGCGGCGGCGTCGACGGAGCCGGTGGAGCTGGTGGCCGAGTCGACGGTCGTCGTCGGCCGCGAGCCGCCGGCGGACATCCTTCTCGTCGACATGGAGCGGACGGCGACGACGACGCTGCGCCCGTTCGTGTCGGCGAGCCACGCGACGCTGCGCGTGGCGCTGGAGGACGGGATGGACGTGGCGTACGTGGCGACGCACACCATGTCCGACGGCAAGACCGCCGCCGGGCTCTGGCTCGGCGGCGAGCGCCTCGCCGCGGGCCAGGAGCGCCGCATCGCCGTCGGGGCGACGCTGCGCTTCGGGACGCTCAAGGACGAGGCGTCCATGCCCTACGACAAGTTCAACTACACGCTCACGAGGCTCAACATCGACATGGCGCCGCTGCGGACCGGCCGCGGGCGGACGGACGAGACGACGACGACGACGAAGCTGACGAGGAACCAGAAGAAGAGTAAGCGACGGAAGCAGGACAAGGACGACCTACAGGACGAGCTCGACCGCGTGAAGGCCGAGAACGCGCGGCTCAAAGACGCCGCGCGGCTCGGCACCAAGCACCGGAAGCACGACGCACGACGGAAGCGACGACGACGACGACGCGACGACGACGACGACGACAACGACGACGAGGACGACACGCCGATCTGCCGGGATTTCAACAATGGAGGCTGCAGTTGGCCCGCGTGTAGGTACCGGCACGTGGCCGACGGCGGCCGGCCGCGCGTCGGCGCGTACTCCGCAAGGAGCGCGCGCCACCGCGGCCAGCGCCGCGCCGGCTAGCCGGCGCGAAGAGGACGGCTGTCCGGCGTCCTGCGCGACTCGCGCGAGAGTGGGATCTCGCGCGCGTTTTGGGCCGGGGGCGAGCTGCGTCACACCGGGCAGGTCGGCGCTCCTCCGCTCGCTCCGAGTTCCGCGTGGTCACTTGTGAAACGCCGAGGGAGCCGCGCGGACGCCCGAGACGGGCGGGCTTCGCGGCCTGCCTGGAATAGGGACGAAGCGCGGTGATGACGCAGCGACGCCCGCGCAGGCCGACGCGGCTAGCCGGCCAGGCGGTGCCGCGAAGGCTAGCGGGCGAAGCGGTCGCCTTCGACCACGCGCAGCGACGCCTCCTGTTCGGGGGAAGCCGCCGGCCGACGGTGACCACCGTCGACCAGAACCTGTCGCTGCCATTGACTGTGCCGGAGGAGCATGGGGCAGCTGGCGGGGCGGGAATCCCGAGCGTCGTTGGACCAGTT